TAGAGAAAGTAGTAGTTTAAAGGTACTGATGAATTCGGCTTGGAACGCATATTCAGATGGTTCATTAGTGAAATGTGCTGGATAGAGAGGTTCTCTATAAAGCAAAGTAATTAATACACACACGGTTTCATTGCAAATAATAAATAATGGGTTAAAATTTACCTCAATAGTACGCTCCAACAACCATTTGGGCAGTAGGTTTCTCTGATAGCTCTATGCTAGGTCTACATATTTGAGTAAGCATTACAGTCAACCTCCCATATAGTCACACCTCTCGGGACCAAAAAAATTTGGTGCGATTATATAAAAGTTATATGATGTGACTATGGAAGAGGATTTTTAATAAGTTTATTATTAACTTTGACCTAACAAACTGTGCTTATAAGGGAGGAGTGACTATATAAGAGGTGGCTATATAGGGGGTCGACTGTATACTACGAAGAATAGGTGCGCATTTGACTACCATCTCTCTATCCAGAAGACTTTCAACAACAATGCAAGAAGGGTTTTTACATCATCATCATCCTTAAAGTGAAAAAAGAGTGAATATACAATATACACGTATGCAAACATAATAACTGGATCTTACCTGAGAGGCCAAATGTGTTTATAACGAAGAGCCCTTCCAAGGATGTTTTTCTGCTTCTCATTAAGGACTTTAAGCGTTCTAACTATGGATTCATATACTGCTTTTCCTCTTATAGGTTGAAAGATTCCTTATCCCAGCCATCAAGTGTTAAGCTGCGCTTACCTTCCATTATTACAGATTCTAGGTAAAAGCAGCAGATTCCAACGAGACCTTTGTGTCCACGGGTTAGGGAGTAAATATTTAAAGGCCACCAAGATACGAGGCTTCATTTATGATAATAATATCCTTGAAATTCAAAAAGAAACCCTCAAATGTAGATGATGACATTTGAACTTCCTCATTAAAGAGCTTGTTTAAGGATCGCAATTTTAAATATATTGACCGCTAGAATTCCTCAAGTCCTTGATCAATCACGATTCCGCTGCCAAAGGTAATGATATAAGCATCCCTATTGCTATTATTATGAACCATTGTCTTACTGCCTTACCACTCTTCCGAGGCCCATATAGAAGACAGAACTTGTCTTCGAGAAGAAACTTTCCGAAACTTTCGGTCATTTCTTTAGGGTCAATATAATAGTTAAACCCCTGATATATCCTTAGAAAGCGAGAAAGTACGAGGTCTGCATAAGAATCTTGTTTAAATTTATAGATAGATTCATTCTTCCTCTACAATCTAGGTTTTTATCTAGTGATTAAAAAGGCAAAGTTAGAAATGATGGTAAGAAGGATGTTTAGCAGTAATGATACTTACTAGTTGATAGTTCGAGCAAGCTTTCGCAAACTTTACGATTTCGTTTTAATAACGGTAAAGGTTGAGAACTATCTTCATTTTCCTTTTCATTAAAACGCCTTTTTTCCCTATTGCAAAAAGTTGATATGTAAGTAAGATTCTGTCTGGACGCTCTTCTTCCGCAGGCTCACATTTTCACATTATTGAGAACACTAACCTTATGTTGACGCTTTAACGTCAAGACTTTTCTTTGTGTCTGGTTCTAGGCATCTTAACAAAATCTCAAGATCACTACCCAAATCAGACTTCCATTTCGATGTGTATAAAAAAGGTTTCCCAAATATTATTCTCCATTGCGTGTAGGGTCTTTCCCAGTAATTGGGATATCGGTATGTACGGTTTTATGAAATCAAAAACCGTACACACCGAACTTTATTCAAGAATTCTTTTGACATTGCTAAACAGAAAGTATAAAAAAAAATCGGTGTGTACGGTTTTTTGAAAATCAAAAACCGTACACACCGAACTTTATTAAGAATTCTTTTGACATTGTTAAACAGAAAGTATAAAAAAAAATTAGGAGAGGCAAGTTATAAAGAAAGTTTTTAACGTAAAGGATCTTACGCGTCTGATCATTTTAAATCTACCAAAAATGGGGCTCGTCTAAAGCGGGGGTAATTTGGCCGGCATTATGGCATTAAGAATTAATCGTGTGACAAATAAGATGCGTGACAGATATGATTTTTCTACTGAAAAAATTCTGTTTCTAGAATATGGTACTTAAAAAAAATTAAAAGTGAAGGACGTGACAAATAGTTTTACTATGATCACGTGATTATTCCATGCGCTTTAGACAATTCAAAATGCAAAAATATGCAAATAAAAATTTTTTATATAACAAAACTCAGAATTAGTATAAATCATATAATTAAATATCATAAAGTTATATAGATTAACTAATTCCAACCGGAATTATAAGTAAGAAATTGCATTATTTGGTAATATTTTTAAAATTTTAAACTTATTATTTTAAGAATTTGTGTAACTAAATTCTCATTTATAAAATAATTTGATTAATAATTCAGATCA